CTACGCATAATATTGAAAGTGCTGTGGCGGCGCATGAGCTGCACCAGGCTCGCTTACAGGCGGGGCTTCCCACTGGCCGAGTGGAGTTCGGACAGCTGCTGGGGATGGCGGATGGCGTTAGTTTCGGGCTGTTGCAGTTGAAAGATCAAAACAGTGTGGCTCCTGGTGTGTACAAGTGCTTGACTTGGGGTAGTATGGGAGAGTGTCTGGGTTATTTGGTGCGGAGAGCAGCGGAAAATAAGGATGCGGTTTCACGTACTATGGCTGAGCATTTGGCGCTTAAGGCGGAGGTGAGAAGGCGAGTTAGGGCTTTCTTTGGATAGATTGTTTAGCTATGTGTATGGAGTATGACCGTGAATGAATGAATGGCAATTATGGTATCTATTCATATCTCCAATTCAACCAATTACCCCTCCATGAGTGTCTACATCATCCTTGCAAAGCTGCAATCTCAGGATATTTTTCCCAACCATGGCATCTGTAGCCGATGCAAGGTGGTCACCCAAAGGATGCACAGTTACAACTGTAATCAACTGAGCTGCAGCTGATAATCTCGACCGTTATCGGCCGGTGAGCACCCAACTAGGTTTTACTAGGGCATACGCTGAAGTGCAGTTAGAATAGCCGCCAGCTTGCAGTGCGACCCACCGATATCCGAGTGGATCTGGATGGATATAGTTCGATTACACTTTGGAGTCAATTGATGCAATGAGGGGTAGTAAAGATGAGGGGTGCTGTCGTGCCTTCATTCATTCCTCCCATGTCTTTTGTTTCTTTTTCCTTCAACTCAAGCAGTCAATCTAAATCCTTCTCGTGACACTTAATAACTCTGGAATATCACACACACTACCATATACCTGCTATACATCCATCAACTCTAACCATCAATCCATCCATCCAAGCCACCAAATCAAACCAACAACTACTACTACTACATCCAAAATGTCTACACCAGAAAACACCCTCGCCATCCTCGGCTGCGGTACATCCCCCCTTCCCTACCCACCATATACATCCATTTACTAACACTACATCCCAGGAAAAATGGGCATCGCCATCCTCAACGGCCTCCTAATCGCCCAATCCACCACCACAGACACAAACACCACCAACACCCCCCTCCCAACTCACTTCATCGCCACCGTCCGCAGCTCCTCCTCCCTCAACACCCTCCAATCCCAATTCCACTCCCACCTAACCACCACCCTAACCATCTATTCCTCCACGGACAACCACCTCGCCATCTCCTCCGCCAACACCATCATCCTCGCCTGCGATCCCACCGACATCCCCTCCCTCCTCACCAACCCAGACACAAAATCCGCCCTCTGCAGTCCCACTCCCACCCCAAAACTCCTCATCAGCATCGCCGCCGGCTGGACCGTGTCCTCCCTTCGCAATCTCCTCTCCAACCCACAAGACCTCTATGTTGTCCGCGCCCTGCCCAACATCTGCGCTACCATCTCCCAGTCCATCACAGCGATCGAGCTCCCCTCTGAAGAGTTGCAAGCGAATGCAGAGACTCGTGTGCCGGAGGGGATGATTTCCCTAACGGAGGGGATATTCAATAAGATAGGACGCACGGTGCAGGTGCGGCCTGATCAGATGGATACGTTCACGGTGCTGGGTGGGTCGACGCCTGCGTTTTTGGCGGTGTTCGTGGAGGCGTTGGTGGATGGGGGCGTGGCGATGGGGTTGGGGAGGGAGGAGGCGAGGGTGACGGTTGCGCAGGTGTTGAGGGGTACGGGGGATTTGTTGCTTGGTGGGGAGCATCCGGCGTTGTTGAAGGAGAGGGGGACTTCTCCTGGGGGGTGTACGATGGGTGGGTTGTGTGTGTTGGAGGAAGGGGGGTTTAGGGGTCTCGTGGGGAGGGTGGTTAGGGAGGGGGTTATGGTGGCAGAGGGGATGGGGAGGGGGGTGGGGTTGGTTAATGGGACGGGGAGGAAGTACTAGATCATTAGTATATATTCTGGTGATTGGTGGAGGGGATGTGGTGGATGTTTAGGTGTTAACATGTTGTATTCAAGTTGTAGTAGGCAACGTTGTACTATGTATCCAATTGTATGTCTCGCAGTGTCGTCCAGACAAAAAGTACAGAAGTGAAGCAATATCAACCGGGGCCCCCTTCACCTAAATTTTAGTAGCATCCCCTGGGACCCGTGAAAGGTGGACAGAAAGCATGTGCAAGAAACCAGACATCGTTACTCATTATCGTGACTGAAGAATATCCCTGACTGGTCCGCTGATAAGAGGAACTGGCGGGATGGGTGTAAGCAGCAGTTCCTCCTGAGAGTGCTGTGAGTAGCTGGCTTGTGTTCGAAGAATCCCCGCGCTGTAGGTGTAAATGACCGGCTCGCCAATCTGGAACGCTCAAGAATAGAAAGGAATGTAGTAAGAAGCACATCATGCTAGAAGATTAGAGACAACTGAAGTACTGATCGATAACGAGGCTCGTTGCAGGATCCGAAATTGAAGTCATGATAACTTCTCTTCATAGCGTACTCGCAAGTGTCAATGTCCGGCAGGGATCTGTAGCCCGCTTCATGTCGAGAAGCCACATCGGATATGGCAGAAGCATGCAGCTAGACATCACGCGCAATATTGTGGTGCGTCGCAGGACGCAGTAGATAGTAGAGTACGGGAGTAGAGTACGGGCGTAGAGCTCTTCGCTGAAGACTAGGACAAGTGCCGTAATCGCTGCAAGGCTTCGCGGGGTGTATTGCGAGCAAGGCAAAAGCCTGCCACATAGACGGCTTCAAGCCTGTCATGGTAGGGTCAAGGATATATGGTAGATGTCGCCAGCGGTTGCGCTTGGAACGCATGTGCGGTCGTCGCCGGGACGACAAAGAGTGGCCTGACATAAGAGCATTCAAAAGCGGCTAAGCGATCAAAAATCAGCAAAAAGTGCCTCGTACTTGTCTCTCAAATCATCAGTGTAAAGACTCTGGTTCTTCACATCCGGATCTGGATATTCTTCAAAGTTTCCAGTATCTGCAGGATGATCGACTCGAGGGATGATGGGTCCCTTGATGCGGCGGTAGAACAGGTCATCCCAGTTGATGTCTTCGAAAAAGGGATGCGTCTTGACTCGGGCTGAGCCCCCGGAGATGTAGCCCAACCGCTCAGTCGGGTTGGTCTTGCACAGCAACGATATGATGTTCTGCGCTGCAGGCGACATGTTCTGAGGATAACGTATGTGACCCTCGACGATTTGCTCGTATATGCGCATCGGGTTTTGGTCCCAGAATGGCGGCTGTCCCACAAGGAACTCGTATATTAGGATACCTAGAGCCCACCAGTCTACGGCAAGGCCGTGGCCGCTGTTATGAATGACTTCCGGGGCGAGATACTCGGGAGTCCCACACAGAGTATAGGTCTCATGGTCGCCAACCTGTTTTGCGAACCCAAAGTCGACTAGCTTGATATGACCCTCGGCGTCAAGCAGGATATTCTCCGGCTTAAGGTCTCGATAAACAACTCCCTCCACGTCATGAAGAAACTCGATGGTTAACGCTATCTCGGCCGCGTAGAACTTGGATGTATTCTCGTTGAAGCGTCGTGCGCGTCGTAGGTAGCTGAATATCTCGCCTCCGGGGCAATAGTCCAACTATGACGACATTAGTCTTCCATCGCCATGATGCCACAGGTTTCACTGCTCTGGTTGAGATTGGTCGCGTGACAGGAATACAAATGAATCTAGGCTTCATACCAACATATATAGATTCTGATCATCGGAGAAGGAGGCAATCAACGTCGTGATGAAAGGATGGCCGGAAACATCTGCGAGAGTCTTCCGTTCGTTGCGGACATGCTCGACTTGCTTCAGCTTGATCACTGTCAAATTTCGAAACAGAAATGGTTAGCCAGATGCTGTTGCTGCAGTATGCATCGCAAACTACATACCATCTGCCTTTCGGAGTATCTTCAGAGCGTAGACCCTGTTCTTGCGTTGCCTTTCGTCGTTCAACTTCACTAACCACACCCGAGCGAATGTGCCTGGGCACAAGAATCGCCGCCGTCAGACACTGGCTAGGTTGCGCAAGCGACGAAGCGAAGCTTACCTGTGCCCAGTGTCTTCAACAGTGCGAAGTCATTGACGTTCAACCGACGAGTCGATATCCCCAGCTGTTTCTCTTCGGCACGACCAGCGATAACGAACGGACTCAGTCGACGCTGATGAGGCGGTCGGACTGAAGCCACTATCTCCTTTTCCCTCTCGTGAATATCTTCCGACCCCATCTTGAACTGGCTAGTTGGGACTGAGAATCTTTGCATGTCGTTAGCGCATCGATGGTTTTGGTGCACCCAGAAAATGGCAAGGGATCCTGTCGCGGAGGGCCGCGGGGAGGGGGAAAGGTGTGGGGAGAAAAACAAGGAGTCGCTGGGGTAGCAATTGGGCGAGTACCGGGTCCCTTAAAGCTGGTAGAGAAATGCAGGCGAGTTATTATCGCACATAGAGATCGATCAGGGGAACGGCAACGGCGCGGGGATTCGCAAGAGGATTTTGCGGGATGGAAGAGCTTTGATGAGGCCGGTCTGGCTCTCATCCAGCCGGCGGCGCTACGGGAAAGAAGAGACTCTGACGTTACCGGCCGGCGGGGCAGCCACGGGCCTGTGTGTTCGAGTCCCCTGTCGGTCACCAGCCATCCCCTCGCTGCTCAGCGGTTGCGATCTTCTTTTCAACTAAAAAATGGATCTAAATCCAGGAATAGAAAGATAGAGAGGGATATAATGACATTTCAAGTAACGTATATGCTATTTCAACACTCCAGCAATGTACTAGTACAAGACACCAGACCTCCCCGGACGAAAGGCATCAATACCAGTGCCAGCGCCACCGACTGAATGGTCCCTAGACAATAAGCAGAATTGCTGCTTCTTGATCGCAATCTGGCTGCACTCATCTGTACAGCAGTATTCCTATAGGGGACAAAAATACGTCCATGTTGGACATGAGTGGCCAAGAACCGGGAACACCAAGCGCAACATGCAGAACCCGCTCAGCCAGAGCTTTTGGAGTTGAGAATCAAGCCAACAATCAATCTATGAGTGTAAGTATGGTATCTTGACTGCTCCAGTTGATGTGTACTTACCCGTAGAGACCAAGAACCTCGCCAAAAATCAAGATAAGAATCATACCGACATAAACACGAGATTGTTGCATGTACGCACGAACACCCTGTGTCCATATTAGCACCTGCGCACTTCCATCCAGACACTCCTCGCAATGACTGCTTACCGCATCTCCGACAACACCAATAGTATAACCGGCAGCCACGCCTGCGAGGCCAACCGACAACCCCGCAGCAAGGTGCATGAAGCCACTTCCAAGACAATATCATCAGACTATTTTGTAGATAAGTTGACGCTGAAATCGGGAAACGTACGTGTAAAGGCTCATATGCTTGTTCGGGGGAGGATCCATGTCACCGGCGATGAGGACCGAGATGACGAGGCCGTAAACTGCGATAATACCGGACATGACAACGGGAATCAAGGACTGCACAGGTTAGTACAATCATGACAATGCGGGAGACGCGACAAAAAGCGGGAATAGATCCAACATACCTTCATGATCAGGTCCGGCCTGAAGGTTCCCACTCCGGAGATACCAATTCCTGACTTCGCCGTTCCGTATGCGGCTCCCATTGCTAGATGAAGTGAGCTGGTATGTTCTCGTAACATTCAATCAATACCTCCAGCTTTGCGAGTCGACATACATCCGAAGATCATCTTTGGAGAGGTGGTTAGCGTGTGGTGATCGGAACGGGTGGCGTGTAGTTGATACTCACAGCTGCCGCAATACCTGCCTGTTTTTTGGTGAGTTAGCAAGCGATGCATGTCGCGTGAAATTTTCACAATCAAGACCGTGAGGGAGCAACTTACGAAAGAAAAGAACGGAGCGAACTTGGGGGAGAACTCGCTGTCCGCCATGATGACCGAATCCACCCAGGAAGCACGAGGATCAGGAGTGAGAGCTAAGGAAGGGGGAGGAAGAAGAAGAAAAAGAAAGGAACAAAGAAGCGGAGAAGCAAGAGCCTGGATAGGTGAGACGAATCCCGGGCCAAAGCAGAAGAAATCCGAATTACTATCGTCTCCAGACGTCAGTCGGAAGCAGCCAGCTGGATAAACACGATAGCTTTGGCAGGTCGGCGGAATGAGAGGTTGACCGAAGTAGTCCGCCCGGGCCACCGTATAGGAGAAGTGGCCTATCCGGGTTAGGAGTGACATGTGCCTGTTCGACCCAACAACCCCCGTGCTCTTCCTTCTCCTAGACTCTCCTACACGGCCGCCGGTCCCATTCTTCACCAACTTCCCTGGCAATCATAATAACTGACACCTGCCTACTTACTCCCACTAATCCACTACTGCCCTCCCTCCCTCTCCCCACTCTCTACCTTCAACTCTCTCTCCCTCTATAACCTTAAAAACAACTTTCCTTCCCCCCTCCTCCTCCTCTACCCACCCATCTTGCCTGGCCTTACCCCCTCAGATTCTTTTCTCTCCCTCTTCCCCAGGCACGCCACCCCCAGTCTTGATCGACCGATCCCGCCCGAGGGAGCATGCTGAGGTTATGAACTTGCAGGGGCCCTGGCTTGCCGTTGCGCTCAAGGCTCCTAGCGCACTTGGATCGTTAACACACCACGCGGTCTCGACACCCTCCCCAGACTTCCAAATCGCACCAACACTGGACCTCCCAAAGGCATGATACATCGAGGGGGCTTTTGTGTGTAGAGGCTTTTCTTCTCCTATTCGAATTTTATTCTTGTCTTATTTTACTCTTGATTCCGCTTATAAATTATCGCCCCGTGGAGTATCTCATTTTCTTTTTTCCCACCCGCGCTCTCCTCCTTCTCCTTACTCCACGATTCGAAACGATCTCCTCGCGACGCTCTGCACGCTCTCTACGACCGGATTCGATACCCTCCCTTTCTCCCACCTTCACCTCACCCTCCTCTCGCCTTGTGTGATTCACCTTCTTGCCACCTTTCACCGAGATATCCCCAGAGCGAGGAGTAAAGAGGGGGCTACATACACATCATGGCCGATTTAGGGGGTCAGCAAGGCCGGAACTACCGGCCTTACGGGCATCCCTCCGCTTTTCAACGTGATGCTGCATTCTCCGAGATTTTCGGCGGAGCACCGGGACGCTCGCAGACGATGACCTCCCAGACTCCTCAGTTCTCCCAAGATCGGGCCCATACCATGTCTTCACACGTGCCCCATCCGCAAATGCAGAGGGGTCCGCCACCACCCGCGCGCCAGATGCAGAATGGATACCCCCCGGGCCCCCCCAACGGTTATTATCAACCGTACGGTGGAAGCGCAGCTACAATGACCTCCCAGCACCCTTCCCAGAATCCTCCACGACCCTATCCCGGACGCTCTGCTTACCCTCAGCCGCAGAGGCTTGATTCGAGACCGAACCACGGGCCACAATATCCGGATGCAAAGGGTTATGCTCGACCAGTGCCCCACCCTGCCCTGAACTCCGACGCTTACAGATCAAGGTCAATGGCGAGGTTGGGAGGGCCACCGATATATCAGCCACCATCCAGTGGCTTCAACCATACCTCTGCAACCTATTCCCGCCAACAGCCCTATAATGCAGGCGCCGCCCCCATGACACCTCAGGGACGTGTGGTTCCGGAGAGGAATCAGAACGAGCGTTCCATGTCATTGACCACTTACTCCACTGACCGCGACCACGCTCATACAACACAAACTGGACGGGTCATTCCTCCCAGGCGACAGCCTTCCGGCCCTAGTCCACCCCCGGAAGCCTCCTCGTACCCAGCGGATGTGATTAACGCGTATGATGTTAATGGAAAGTCTCGTCCCCCTAGCGATGGCTCCATGAACTCCCGCACCATGTCCATGGCATCCACTGTTGTTCCGGACCGTACTATGAGCATGCAAAGCCAAATTGCTCCGAAACCCAGTAACACAACAACTCTTGTCCAAAGCAATTCCCGTCGGAGTAAGGTGCCGCTAGTTTACCCAGCCCTGCTTTCGAGAGTGGCCGATGTCTTCCGTGAGAGGATTACGCTCGCTGAACGGCAAAAGAACGGACTGTCGTATCAGAATGCGTTCTCCGGTGCGGAGGCGGTCGACCTGATCGCCTACATCATCAAGACTATGGATCGCAATCTGGCTCTGCTTTTGGGACGCGCTTTGGATGCGCAGAAGTTCTTCCACGATGTGACATATGACCACCGTCTGCGAGATGCTCCCGGTGAGCTTTACCAGTTCAAAGAAACCATGGGAGAGGAAGCGCCCAGTTCGGAGGTAAATGGAGTGTTCACGCTGTTGACTGAATGCTACTCGCCGACTTGCACTCGCGACAGCTTATGCTACTCGATTGCTTGTCCCAGGAGGTTAGAACAGCAAGCTAGACTGAACCTCAAGCCGCAGCCGGGACTCCGCTCGTCTGCCTCCAAGGGTAGTTTGCACGGTGATGACGACGACAATGATAACCAGAAATTGTGGATTAACATGGTTCCCAAGGAGATTTCTGATGGCATTGACGACCGCGAGAAGAAACGTCAGGAGATCATTTTCGAGATCATGTACACCGAGCGTGACTTCGTTAAGGACCTCGAGTATCTACGAGACTTCTGGATGAGGCCATTGCGTTCCGCAGGCAATGCTAATCTTTCGCCAATCCCTGAGCACCGACGGGAGAAGTTCATTCGCACGGTATTCGGAAATTGCTTGGAAGTCTTGAAGGTCAACGGCGGATTGTGTGAGGCTCTGAACGCACGCCAGAAGGAGAACCACGTCGTCAAGACAGTCGGTGATATCTTCTTGCAGCACGTGCCACGCTTTGACCCATTCATCAAGTACGGTGCAAACCAGCTCTACGGAAAGTACGAGTTCGAGAAAGAAAAGGCATCAAACCCGGCTTTTGCGAGATTCGTTGAGGAAACAGAACGTCTCAAAGAGTCACGGAAGCTGGAGTTGAACGGTTACTTGACCAAGCCAACCACTCGTCTGGCAAGGTACCCCTTGCTTCTGGAGCAGGTTGCCAAGAACACGGCGGACGATAACCCTGACAAGCAAGACATTCCCAAGGCCATCAAGCTCATCAAAGATTTCCTGTCTCGCGTCAATGCTGAGAGTGGAAGGGCTGAGAACCATTTCAACCTTGTGCAGCTCAATTCAGCTTTGAAGTTTCCCCCGGGCGAATATGTCGATCTGAAGCTGACGGAAGAGAACCGTCAAATGCTGACGAAGATGGCTTTCAAGAAAACGCCAACTGACAGTTCTGAAGTTACTGCATACCTTTTCGATCATGCGGTTCTCCTGGTGAGAATCAAGATCGTGAACAAGCGGGAGGAGTACCGAGTATATCGGAAGCCCATCCCTCTCGAGCTTCTGGTCATTGCTCAAATGGACGAGGTGATTCCCAGGGTTGGTGTCGCTAAGAGGCCCTCTTCTAGTCTGCTCTCCAACAAGGCTGCTGCAAATCCGCCCACGACTAAAGATGGCCTGCCCATCACTTTCAGGCATCTTGGTAAGGGGGGTTATGAGCAGACTCTATACGCCACTTCTCCTACGCAAAGAAGGAAATTCATCGAAATGGTAGAAGAGCAACAGAGGAAACTTAGGGAGCGGAACAGCAACTTCTACAATAAAACTGTCCTCTGCGAGAAGTTCTTTACCTCTGTCAACAGGGTTAATTGCCTTGTTCCAGTTGGTATGTTATTACTCAGCTCCCATTATACCATTATAGCTTTGGATTATATGGCTAATGACTTTTCGGCAGACGGTGGCAGAAAGCTCGTGTATGGTACAGACAGCGGCATTTACTTGTCTGAGCGTTGGCCTAAGGATAAATCGGCTAGACCTAGACGAGTTCTTGACGTGAGCCAGGTTACGCAAATGGACACTTTGGAAGAGTATCAACTACTCTTGGTCCTGTCGAATAAGACGCTCTCGTCTTACCCAATGGAGGCTTTGGAGATTAGTGAAAGTCAAAATACAGTCGCAAAGCGACCCAAGAAGATCCAGGGACATGCGAACTTCTTCAAGGCCGGTATCGGACTGGGCCGTCATTTGGTGTGCTCTGTTAAGACTTCGGCTCTGTCGACGACCATCAAGGTTTACGAACCCATGGATAATCTGGCTAAAGGCAAGAAGAAGTCTGCGGTCAGCAAGATGTTCCAGAGTGGCCAGGATAGTCTGAAGCTCTTCAAGGTGCGTCCACTTTCTGTCTGTGTCCTCGTGGTTGGCATTTCTAACATTCAGGGCAGGAATTTTACATCCCCGCCGAATCGTCGTCGATACATTTCCTCCGTTCCACACTTTGCGTTGGCTGTGCACGTGGGTTCGAAGTTGTCAGTCTGGAAACGACCGAGACGCAGTCACTCTTGGATCAGGCCGACACCTCACTCGACTTCGTTGCACGCAAAGAGAACGTCAAGCCGATCCATATCGAGCGTATGAATGGAGAGTTCCTGCTCAATTACAGCGACTTTTCTTTCTTTGTCAACCGCAATGGTTGGCGCGCACGCCCGGATTGGAAGATTTCATGGGAAGGCAACCCTAACGCTTTTGCCCTCTCTTATCCTTACATTCTTGCTTTCGAACCAAACTTCATTGAGATTCGACACATTGAGACGAGTGAATTGGTTCATATCATGACCGGAAAGAACATCCGCATGTTGCATTCTTCCACGCGAGAGGTAAGTCGCTCTGAATCACGTGATGTCTACCTGCAGCACTAACCACCGTCCAGATTCTGTATGCCTACGAAGATGAATCGGGCGAGGACGTGGTAGCCAGCTTGGATTTCTGGAACAAGCCGCAACACTAGGCCCGCTGAAATAAGAAGAAAGAGAGGGGAATACGAGAAATAACTCATGCACATTGACTGCCTTTGACTGCACTTTAGAATGGCCCTATGATGGTCGCAAAGCGCATATATCCACTGCATCCTTTTTTCTTTTGAAGCTCAGTTTTCGCTGACCTTTGCGGCCACTTTGACTTATTGAGCTGAACCGAGGATCTCCTTTTTATAATACCTCCATGTTGTCACTTCGATCTGTCTGTATCAGGTCAGCTTGATCAAATTATCTTTGTACAATGAAGCGCATCCATACCACATGCTTATCCAATCACTATTATCCACTTGCTTGTTAGACTGCGACTATAGATTCTAACTAGTCATGGCTCGAGCCTGGAATGCCACTTCACCCATCACGGGGTCACTACCTAGTCACCTACTACGCTCTACACTGTCACCTGAGTTATTCCTAGCCCTTAGGTGACCCGATCACATGGCCCACTTTGACTGAGCAATCCAATACCAGTATATGCTTCCCTCCATAGATATTATTACTCTTATACCCAATGTCCATCCACATGATCCCTAGAGAATGGCGGAATTCGAAAACACTCAGCGGGGCATCTGTGTTTTGAGTAGTTTGTATACATGGCTTTCATTCCTATGTATACTATGTTCGTGCTCGTATGCAGAGCAGTCAAGTAGATAATACTACATCTTATCTTGGTTGTAGTAAGGCTTCCTACCTCCTTGGAAGCAATCCCGAAGTGAGTAGACACATCGTCTATACGGTTCAATCGCCTCTATGCATGCAGATATTTACAGCGTGATTGGTTTTAAGCTGTGAGAGCCTTCATGCTGGACGTCTCCAGAGTCTCTATCTCTGGTTATCAACCGAATAAAGGGTCATTTATCATTATTTTCCAAAAAGCAGGGTCTATCTGATGACTTTCTACCATTACGGCCACTGCAGGCTCCAATGAGTAGTATTTGTAGATTATTATACTAATATTTCAATTCAATCTTCTTCGTCCAATTCATCCGATGACAGCGAACTTTCCGAGCTTCCTGGACTTTCCAAACCTCATGCATCTTCGACACTTTCTAAACTGTCTGAACCCTCTACACTTTCCGCTTTTTCTGCAGATTCTGGACTTTCTGGGCTTTCTGCACTTTCTGCACTCTCAGTAACCGTCGTCTGAAGGCTTCTTTCCTGCTCCAAAATCTCCAGAATCCTTGCTCCGCATCTGGTATTCTCCGCTGCTGCTCTAAGTACTTCCTCGGTCACTGGAAGACAACTGTCCCCTTTGTGTTGCACGAGAGATTCCATCATTCTATCTCCACATCTATCATTCCCTACTGCTATCTTGACCACTTCCTCTGTCACTGGAAGTCCGCTTCTCCCTTTGTGTTGCAGGAGGCATTCCAAGACATCACTTCCCGAATACTTATTCCTTGCTGCTGTCTTGGCCACTTCTTCGGTCATTGGAAGACCTTCCCCTTTCTGTTCAAAGAGCAATTTCATGATAGAAGCTCCGGTCGTTTCATTTCCTGCTGCTGCCTTGACCACTTCTTCAGTCACTGGAAGTTTGTCTCCTTTTTGCTGGAAAAGAAACACCATAGCTCTGTGTCCATATATCCCATTACCTGCTGCTGCCTTTACCACATAGTCGGAGGTTGGAAGGCTTTCCCCTCTACGCTTAAAGAGCAATCTCATGAGTCCATCTGCTCCCCAAGTCCCTGCTGCTGCCTTGACCACTTCCTCAGTCACTGGAAGCCTGTCCCCTTCTCGTCGGAAGAGCATATCCAGCATAATCCTCCCAGATATTCTATTCCCAGCTGCTGCCTTAGCCACATCCTCAGAGATTCGAAGGCTTTCCTCTGCATGCTGCAAGAGTAATTTCAGGATTTGAGCTCCATGTGTATTTCCTGCGGCTGCCTTAACCACTTCTTCGGAGATTGGAGGGCCTTTTTCTCCGTGTTGAAAGAGTCTTTTCAGGAACTTATACCCAGAATGATTTTCCGCTGCTGCCTTAACCACATCCTCAGTGATAGGAGGACTTCCCTCGCCGTGCTGAAGGAGTATTTCCAGAATATTATATGCCAGGTGATTTCCTGCCGCTGCCCTGACTAGTTCCTCGGAAATTGGAACTTTTCCCTCCAAATAGTCAGAGAGAAATTTTATATTTTCATAACCCCAGGCACGATTCGCTATTGCTGTCTTGTACACATCTTCAGATAACAGAACATTTTTGCCTCGATGCTTGATAGTATGTTCAAAAGTCTCAAGTCCACAGGTTTTGTTTCCTGTTGCCACTTTGATCGCTTCTTCAGAGACTGGAAGGGCTTCCCCTTGTGCTCGGAAGAGGACCTTCAATATCTTGGTTCCCTGTTTTCCAGTATTCCCTGCTGCTGCCTTGACCACCGCTTCGGAAATCGGGAAGAACTTTCCACGGTGGCGATAGATAGCCATCATAATCTGATGTCCATACTTTCCAGAGTTTCTTGATGCTGCCTCGACTACTCCTTCAGAGATGGGAAGATTGGCCCCGTGGAGCTGGAAAAGGAGTTCCATGATTATATAGCCACATGGTCCATCATTCTCTGCCACTGCTTTGACCATCTCCCGAGAGATTGATAGATCGTCTTGCTCACTTAGAAAGAAATTTTGCAAGGTCTTGTCAGGAGAGCCTCGAATATCCTTTACAGAAGCCTCAGTCAGTTCTGAAACAATTGAAACATCTGTACCACTCAAAACGAGCAAGCGCGCTACATCATCATCTTCTGACTTCTTCACGGCCAATGCTCCCATGGCAACGCCTGCCATGATTTGGGTAATATTGTTTCGTCTATATCCCGCCTCCAAGGACTGTTGTTGATACGCCGGAACCATATCGGGGAGCTCTGTTTCAGGCCAATTCTTAGACCCAGCATCATTTTTCAGAGGATGTCGCCATACCAAAAGAACATTACAGGATCCACCAGAAGTATGCCATCCCTGAGGTGTTCCTTCTGGAGACTTCCTAGGGCGCTTTTTGCAAAGGGTTGCCGCAGGTGTAATTATTCTGAAATGATCTTTGCAAAGCCTAATGATACTTGGCCTCAAAGCCCCTTGCAGAAGGAAAACGATATCACCAGGACTGAGGGACTGTGCAAAAGTTTGAAGTTCCCAATCAGCTTCCCAGTCGTTCTCATACCCGATTGACCGGGCTGTATCATTCAAGTACACCTTGACCTTTTGCTGGCCGAAGTTTGATACGTGTCGTACAGACCAAATATGACCAAGAACCCAGCCCACACCTCTGATAATGGCTATATCTGATCCAGGCCATGTTTCAACAGAACAGCCTGGGAACATGTGATTGGTAACTTGGTTGAACACCGTATTCCAGGGGAGGGCATAGTTTGGCATTAAAGCGGGTGTCATGGTATCAGCACTTAAACCTAGAAGTGCATAGATTTTATCATGCTGCTCGGTAGCATCGTGGTAGCAGTACATGCCAACGAGCTCCCCAATAGTGAGAGTTCCTCGTGACCCAGGCTCATAGTTTGGCCGGAGAAGTGCCCCCTTGATAAGAAAAGCGACTGGGCCTATCTTCTCTTGATACTTTGAAGGAAGGCCTATTTTCTTAAGGCCTTCGCCCAAGGCATGTCCGTTTATTTTAACAGAGCCACACATGATATAAATGGATCTTGCGACACCAACTTCCTGAAGTACCTACTATGGTTATCAGTTGACACTCCTCTGATAGTTGAACGTGGGAGAAGTATTATTACCCAGATACGGCGAAACCAAGCTCTTTGAAACAAAATCACACATAATTTTCGACACCCCTCAATATCTATATCCTGTCCTTCTGCCAGACACCGGAGTCCATCAAGGGCTTTATCGCCATCTTCATAAGCCTCTCCAAGCCAAACAATGACATGTTGAGCTTGTGCGTAAATTTCCCTCATCAGTGGGATCTGCTTGGCTTTCTCATCCCGGTTACTCTGATCAATGCATATAGCATCAACCCACAGTATTCTCTCAAGCTGCCGATTCCGGAGACGGGACAGCGCAAGATAGAGGTTCTCCGTTACGGGGAAGGCACAGCTGTTCAATTTGATGGTTCGAGATCTCGTGTTACTTCCCCATACGTAGGAAAGTGCCTCGTAGAGGTGCGAATCCGCGCCGCCGCCTGACGTCAAGTCATAGTTGAAGAGTTCGCATTCAATTTCTGCATCTTTGTTTTTATTCGGTAGAAGGCGTATCATGCGAGTCGTTGAATTCGGGGACTCTAATGGGACCTCTGTGTAGGTAAAGGTAGGTCCTGTCAGACCAGAGTTGCGTTCCGGTTCTGGAGACATGGTGCGATCCAAGTCTCTCATGCGATGTTCAGTGAAGATCTTAAGAAAAACCATACATCGCGTCTATCTGAAGAGCAAATTGGGAAAGACGTCCCAGCGCCTTACCAGTAGTATGGAGGAAGAGAATGGAGATGAACTCTTGGGGATGAGCTTTTTCAAGGTAGTAATAAGCAACAGGCGCGCCAACTCAAAGATGGAAGGTGCATGGCGCTGAGTTGGTGCGGCTGAATGGCGGGGTACACTGAGGGCAATCTACTTATGCCAGCAATATTACTAGTTCCTACTGGACAGGTACATTTCTAGTACCGGATTTGCCCAGTACTACTACTACTATGGGCATCGTGATCAGAGACTCCAACTAGTAAGTGAGCATTTCGACTATAGAGGATTCATTCGCATCTTGGATAAGATCGATGATACTAGTATATGAAATCACTCACAGCCTCTCATACCTCTCCCCTTTTAGTATATCAAGACCAACCATTCTGTATCTGTTCCCCTAAATTTTGGCTTACGATTATACCACCCTTTAACTACAGAAAATGATGATTACTCTTGTAACATGGAATCAGAATCTGGCACTCTTGTGATCATTTGTGGTAGAGTTTACCTAACAATCTACAGCCCATGGTTTGTTAGTGCTTACCACTACATACCTTAGCAATTCATGAACAATAGTATTTCTGAGCATCATGATATACTGTGAAAACTAGCAGTCTAGTACAATTACTACTATTAGTATGATAACTGGAGCTCCAGCTAGACAAAGTGTAGCCTTTGCATAGTACATGAACAATACTTATTACATAGTAGTAGTTATACCTCCCATCACCGCTATATATTCTGAAGTTGCTAACCCGTAACTGAAAATGGTAGTCAAATTGACGCATCATCCTACTGGTTACTAGGTTCGAGGACTTACAGCCGGAAGACGCACCTAGTAATAATATCATCGTCAATCTACTATGCAGCCAACTAATTGGAAAGGAGTGAAGGCTTGATTTCGATGGTGCTGCTTGGACCGAATATAATACGACCGGGGACAACCCAGAGACATCATAATCCTTCCAAATGCCCCGGGTTCGTTAAATCCAGATAGACGGAGCATTTTCTTACCATCATGCCATATGAGTTTACATACCGGGAAAAACTTCGGGTCTTTTGTCCTCATATACTACTATTCAACTAAGACATATGATGATAAGATTAAGACATGAACCACGAGCACAAGGAATATGAAACGACAAAAGAGGGAATCTTGCTGCGCTGCTTGAGATTGGGACAGGTTTCATCGACAAAAGCAGAAATGGGAAAAAAAAATAAAAAAGGGATGGGCAATGAGAAGGAGGTTATGCAGGTTCAGCGACAACTGTCAGCAAATTAAAAAGATGCTATCTCTGACCCCAAGCTTCGCAACATGGGCAGTGCGAAACAGTTCGGAGATCTTTCGACCAGATTAAAGAAGACATGGGAAGAAGCCAAAATTTGGGAGAGGGAAAGAGCAGAGCAGCAGCAGGATTCCATCACCTCTTGTCCGCAACCCTCTGAGTGAACAAAGGGGAATGCTGCCAGTCGTCAAGATAAACGGAACGTTGCATTTTCCCCTCTCCTCTCGGATAAGAAGCTATTAACGTGAATAAACGGTCGACTAATCTTTCCCCCGTCGACAGTCACAACTGCCGTGCCACGACTCTCATTACATAGGCACAAACGGCGTCCGGGGTCAACATGCAAGATCCGTCTCCCTCCGGGGAACAGGTTCAGGAAGAGCTCAAGCATCGCTGATGCTATCAATCTGACTCTGGCTTGCTTCACGCGCCATGCGAGCCTCGATCTCCCTCAGCTGACTCTCACGAGCCAACAGTTCCTGGCGCTTCTCAGCGATCTCGCGCTGCACCTTGAGTTCGATCTCGCGGAGCTTCTCCTCCTCGCGACGAAGCTGCTCCTCCTTCAGTCTAACGGACTGGGATGCTAGATCTTCTGGGTTCATCGAAGAGTCTTGTGTACTGTGGCTATAAGTTAGTTTTCGTTCCAGCGGACCGTAACGATGGCAAGCGGGTATACGTACGGCGTAGCACCATCCACACTCTTGCTGAGCTTCTCAGTACGGTAGTTTTCGTAGAGGAAATCGTGGGTAATTTCCTTAAGGTCTGCGAGATGGCTGTGAAGAAGAGCGCTGCGGATGGCCAAGAAGTCCGAGTGACGGGGGTTCTCAACGTCCACGACACCCCAAGGATATTGCCTGGCCCGCACCTTCTTGCCGTCAATCTCAACAAAGTCCTCAGAGCCAACAATGGCAAACGGCATCAGACCACGAAGCTCAGCATTCTCCTCCACGGTGTCCTCGTCGTCCTCCTCGATATCGTAAGGGAAGTTGTACACGGGAATGCGGTAGTGCTCAATATCCTCCATGATAAGCTTCTTGGATTCGGCCAATTCGGCAGGGGTGAGAGAGTCGGCCTTGCCGATGACGGGGATGACGTTGACACGGGGAGAAAGGCGCTTCATCAATTCGATGTCCAGCTCACGCAGTCCATGGCCGGTCGGTGTGATGAAGTAAAGCAGGACGTGAACACGGTTGTCCCTGAAACGGGGGTTACGCTTGATTCGGGATTCCTCCGCAAGAATGTCATCGTATTGGCGCTCAAGGTATCCAACGATTTCGCCGAAGCTGTTGGGACGGTCAGTATTCGTAGGGGGCGTTTGGAAGGCGGCCAAGTTCAACGTGCCTTGCTTCGTTGTCAATCTGGTCTCCGAAACCGGGGGTATCAACGATGGTGAGGGAAATGCGGGTGCCTTCGTCGTCCAATTCCAGCTCTTTTCCCGAGATCTCATTAGTGGCGTGTATGCTGGTGGTCCAGATGGCGGTGACTTACCAACTGTGACTGGCTTGATGCGGACACCCTCCTCAATGTGAGCGTTGGCCGGGTCGTCGCAGTCCTTGCCTTCTAGGACCTTCTTTCCACAAAGAGTGTTGACGAAGGTGGTACGTCCTATCGAAAGGGGGGGATTCGGTCAATTCTGCAATCGAAGTTGGTTTGTATGATGCAGCACATACCGGTTCCGCTGGCACCACAGACCATCAGACAGAACTGGATACCCTTCTTGACATTCTTCTTGCGACGGAGCTTCATCTGGGAATTAGAGCAAGAAATTAATCGTGGACAAATCTCTGGCCAAGAGCCTGAAGACAGATAATGAAAAGAAAACGACGGTTTCAGGGACAATGGACAGGGTGGGTTGGATGGGAGGGGGAAGGAGCATGGATAGGCTTCAGAGCAACAAGGCCAGAAAGGGGAAGGAAGTAACATACCGCGTTGAACGACATGGTGAATTAAAAGGGGAGGAATGGAGGAAATTAAAGAAGAGAGAAGAAGAGATTGAAGAAAATAGAGGGAGAAAGCGAGTGGCAGAGACAAGGACGAAGGTGGTTTGAGCCAAAGGAAAGGAATGGGGGGGGAAACAAGAGAGGTGGAATGAAGGTTGAATGAATTAGATGGAGGAGTGGATGGGATGGGATGTGGAATGGCTGCGTTGCTCCCCTGAGGTTCGACGACGGGCGGACACTCTCTGGGCAAGCTGGAGGGACTAAAGAGCCGTTTGGCTGGCGCTTGCTACTGATCTGGCAGTTAGGGGATTTGCTAGACTCTCTCTAAGGGGGGGATTTCCTCCCTCCCGTTTTCCTGTTCGTAACAATTTCTTACCGCTCTGGAACGGTCACAACTGCCCCCTTTCACCCTGCAGTCCCTAACGGTCCAATCATCGCCCTCTTTCTTTCTCCAGATTGATCGGTCGCTGGTAATATTGGTATCTCATGTAACCGATGATACATCGATACCTTACTGGTCGTACCACTCCCACTTTTCTAAACAATTCAGTTACTCTCCCATGGATAGCGGGCTCCCAGGCACGGTTCCTGTATGGAGTAAATGGAGTCTAGTAGTTATCCCCCTACTAAGCAACTTAAGGTACATGCTTACGAACGCTTTGTTCAATTGCTTAGGTAGATAGCTGCCGATTTCAATGTACACAGTATGATTCCCATCTAGTATGCCCAGACCTTGTCTTTGGGTATCTCCCTACCTGCGTACTCTTTCAACACTCATTATAATACCTGTCCAATCTGGGGACGCCTTGATCATCAATTATTGTCTTTTCACTGAGAGTAAACACACTTCAGGTCTCCACTCAGCGGCCAGTGCTATGACTCAATAGGGAATTTGTTCCTTTAGTCCAACTCACATATTATCCGGTAACCTGTTCTCTGAGGTACAGCGCGACAAGTCAACTGAATGAAAGCATAAGTGGTTGTTGCTGCAATGTCTGGCTACTAGCCTCTGTGCTCTCCCCAGTTCTTCTCAGGGGTCGGGGGCAGCAGAAGGCGTTTCCACCGCCGCCGTGGGTCGCTGCGGGCCGCCGTAGCGGTAAGCAATTACCCAAATACCATACAGCTTGGAATTTTAGGCCTCAGGCCTGAAACAATGGCTCCGAGACATGATTATTGACTACGGAATATTCCTAACCGCAAAACGGTAGACTAACCGCGCGGGTTCGAATCACGCCCTTGTCAGTACATGCTTTTCTTTTTCTTCTCCTCGATCATCTTTGCCGAAGTATATGAAGAAGTTCTTCTTCGGCGTCTCTTTGGGTGTGAGATGATGTGCATTGATCTCCGTTGAACAACATCACCACGCTGCGCAGACAGTCTATTGGCCCGGCATCCGCTGCCCTTCCGGCATCCCCCAGCCAAAAGCGGACCCCCGGGCCTTATCTACGTTACTGATGCTCGGGTGAGGTCAGCGACCGCTGTCGATCTTCTAGTTTCCTGTCTACCTTTCTACCATCCATAGCTCTGATGGCCTCTTTCCCTGGTGGCCAGAATGAACACCCGACAAGTTATCGATGAGTCTGTGGGGCCACTCTCACTCTCTGCTACATTCAACAATGATACCTCCTGCTTCGCAGTTGGGTTGGACACCGGCTTCTGTGGTAGGTCCTAACCATGCCCTTCCTGCAATAGATTCCCTTCCGGGATATCCAAGCTAAGAACAATATGATCTCGATGCAGTCTTCAATACCGACCCATGTGAGCTCAGAGTATCAAGAGGTATACTTGATAGCTTCAGCCCCACCATCCTCCAGCTCCGTGTCACTAATGCCGTTCGCTCCATCTAGATTTCAATGCCGGCATTGGGGTAGTCAAGATGCTTGGCCAGACGAACTACCTAGCTATCGTTGGCGGAGGGAGACAGCCAAAGTTCCCACAAAATAAGGTGCGCAGACATCTGTATCTATCTTGCGCAGCTTATGCTCACACAGCGGTCGCAGTTGGTCATTTGGGATGACGCAAGACAGAAAGCAGTAATTACGCTGGAGTTCCGCACCTCGGTCCTGGGCGTCCGACTGTCCAAGTCGCGCATCGTTGTCGCCCTCCTCAATAGCATCCACATCTTTGCCTTCTCGAACCCTCCGCAGAAGCTTTCATATTTTGAGACAACGGATAACCCACTGGGGCTGGCTTGTCTAGGGCAGCAGGTGCTCGCTTTTCCAGGTCGGTCCCCGGGCCAGGTCCAACTGGTGGAGCTTGAGACGGGGAATGTCAGCATCATCCCTGCACACAGCACGCCATTGCGCGCGATGACATTGAGTCCCGATGGCGAAGTGTTGGCGACGGCGAGTGAAGCGGTACGCCCCTACCCCTACTATTATGGATGCGACGCAGACTACTGACCAGGCGCATTCTATCTAGGGCACTTTGGTCCGGGTCTTTTCTACAGCTAACTGCACCAAAATGGCCGAGCTACGACGCGGTGTTGATCATGCGGTGATATTCTCTCTTGCCATTTCGCCCTCGAATCTTCTACTGGCTGTAACTTCGGATAAGTCTACCCTGCACGTGTTCGACCTTCCGCATCCCCGACTACCGACGAACCGTACTCCAGCTGCAGCTTCCCCGACCGAAGAACAAACAAACCAGAAATGGGGCATTCTCGGAAAAATTCCACTATTGCCAAGGGTATTCTCTGACGTGTATTCATTCGCAAGCGCCCACTTTGAAATGGGGGAGGAAGCACCACCCGGCTCGCATTATGTCCCGCCACTGGGTAACTCATACGGGAGCCCGTCGAAAGGCGTCATAGGTTGGCGCGACGATAGGACCATTCTTGTTATCGGCGCCGGCAGGGATGGTCGATGGGAGAAGTTCGTTCTGCGCGAAGGGGACGATGGAAAGCGGTATTGCCTGAGAGAGGGCTGGAAAAGATATTTGGGAGGCAGCTGAAATTCTGTCGGCGGGATAAAGAGTGATTGTTCGCAGCACTACTTAGTCGTTTTGCACCAAGGTAGTAGCTGTTCCAGATGCAGGCAAGATCCGTATGCATGCGCCCATGCCACAGCATTGATTTTGAGATGGACACGATATCGCATGAGCCGGCGCAGGATGATGAAACAGCAGACTTGCATTTCAAGAACAGGCGCGGACTGCAGCATTCAGCCACAAAGATCCTGGAGATCTTTTATTGGATGGCTTTTTCCCAGGATCAGTTAGACGACTTAGTCCTCATTAGCATATTTAATATCTAGATAGCTTTTCCAGACATTTAACGGTGTCGATCATGCCTATCTCTGTAGCGTCGGGAGTCGGGGGATCGCGACGCGACCGGCGACCTGTCTCTGTCGGACCTCTCCCTTCTAGAAGGAGACCTCGCTCTATGAGATCGCTCGTCCCTTCTGGGCGACCGATCTCTGCGTCTTCTCTCCGAATCTCGGTCGTCGTCGTGTCTCCGGCGGTGAGAACGGTGATGGCGGCTTGATCTCTCACGGCTGTCACGTCTCCGAGATGATCTCTCGCTGCTGCGCATCTTTTCCAAAGCGAGTGCGACTTCCTCCTTCTTCTCTTCGATAAGGAATTCCTTCATTGGATCTTCCTCGTCGTGGTTCTTAATAAGTTCCTGTAGCTCGATCTCCTCCTTGAGCAGAGGCCGTCTCGCAGGCTCCTCTTCCCTTGATTCACTTCCCCTTCTCTTCCTTCGTCTTCTCCGCTCATCATCTGTATCTCTCTCATCATTATCCTTGTTGGCCGTATCACCCATGAGCTTTGCGACATTGTCTGTTTCCTCCTCGTCATCGCGCCGCTTATACCTCACGTGGTCCACACGCAGCACTCTTCCCAGAACTGTTGCCCCACCAAGATTGTCGACAGCGAGATCTGTACTGCGTTGATCCTCGTATTTCAGAAAGCAAAAGCCTCGACTCTTTCCGGTCTCTTTGTCGCGGACCAAATTGATGTGCACTGGCTCGCCGTATTGCGAAAAGATGGTTATAATATCACCCTCGGATAAATCGTATGGTAGTCCACCGATGTAGATGTAAGCGGTGTCTCTGTAGTCGGCGTGCCAGGAAGCTTCCGGGGATCTAAGGTAGTCCACAATGGTTAGCAAAGAAACCAATAGGTTAAGCTGCAAATAAGCGTGACATACATGGCATTTTCAAGCTCGCGCTTGTTGAGCGCTTGAATTTGGCGGATATTATTCATTATGGAATAGAGAGTCGCAGAAGCGAGTCTATAATCTCCTCGGGAAACAAAAAGGTCAAATAAGAGCACAGCTGAATTGCGCCGGCGAAGCAAGAAAGTGAGTGGCTGAGAAGGAGGGACTGGAAGCAGCAGAAAAGCTGGCGGGTTCAGCTCATCACGGGCTGGCTCCGCGGGAGGGTCCCACCCGCAAGAACGCCGACACTTTGGATTGTTTACTGGAGTGCAACTTAAACGTATTTCTCGACTAAACCGTCCTCCTCTTGAACTGACTACCCCCACCATCTGTGTGATCTAAAGAGCAACAGCGGGATTACCTACGATACCGCTCATCCGGGTGGGCAATTTGGCCACGGACCCGCCGTTAATCGCTACAAGAGATCGTCCCCAACGCCAGATTCCCCTGACCCCAAATCCGCTTGCCTGGACCGATATCCACCATCTCCTCCAAACTCCGCGGCTCACGCGTCAAAGCCGTCGGACTAGCCTCACAATTATTCGGACGTTACATGGCATGGTCTGCGCCAACTGAACATAGTCGAAATCGAACAGGCGATGTCTGCGTCAAGCCAGATCCCCGGCTCCAGATTCGGTACCGGAAACAATAGCCGGCCGTCGAGCAAGGATGGACCTAAGAAGAACATCTGGTCTTCTATGCTGGATAGTGTCGCGAATGGAAAGCGTCTGCCTGAGAAGAATTTGCTTATCCTAGGTGCGAAGACCTGGTTTCTGCTGCCGTCGAGCGGCATCGGCATTCTACTGTTTTGGGGCTGGGTCGCTAATACTTGGACTAATTTCCAGGAGGCACGCCTGAGAGTCAAAGAGAATTCCTAGACACACTCGCCGCCGATTCTTCCGATCCTAGTCTGTCGAACGATAAGCGAAAGGGGAGGGTACCGCCGGTAGCCAACCAGTTCGCTTTGGGATATACATATCAGGATGTGCTGGATGCGGACCACGAAGGTAATTGTTCCTTGAGTTGAGCTGAGTAGTGGGCTCAGCCTGCGTTGTACGGTGGCTGAACAAAAGTGCTCCGGCGAATAGATACTCTTGCGCGCGTCTCTGCATACCTCCTCTCTGAACCGTCTCTATCTTTCGCTCCCCTCCTCAAGCCGCTCCTGACCCCTCAATCGATTCCGGAAACACTCGTCGTGATCCTACTGGATTGGTCGGACCCATGGACATGGATTCGGCGACTCCGAGAATGGGTCCGTCTTCTCCGACACGTACTGATATCGCTCGATGACGAGACGAAGATCGTCATGGAAGAGAATCTCACAGAGTGGAGGGACCGGAAACGAGGCACGGATCCCAGTTCAGGAGGGGCACAAGGATTTACCAGCTCCGGAGGCCCTGTGACGATACCGCTGGGGCCGGGCGAGTGGGATGAGGGGCTTGGAATCCCCATGTGTGTGGTCTGCCAAGGGGTATGTTAATCTACTTCAGGCTTCCGGCAAGTCTCTATATTGACAATTCCTATGCAGGCGGACAAGATTGAAAAGCTGGAGAAGGACCACGGATGGCACGAAGAGCAATTCGACTTCATCCTTCAGTTCATGAGAACACTACTACTCAAGCGTAAGTACAGCGGCCAACATTGCTTGAGATCCGATTCTAATGAAAAGCAGACGGCGCATCGTTGATCTACACCACCCCATTCCTCGCCAACTCCTTGCAGAGCTTAATACACTCCTCCCTCGGCATACACTCTCTCCTAAAAAGACAGTCCCTCAAACACAACGTGATCGACCGGGACAAGATTCTAGTTCCCTCGAATTGGGATTCTTGGGGCAAGATCCGAATCATCCGTGAAGGCTTTGACATGGAAGGCATATCGACAGCATGGTCGATCGAGATTCAGGATCCCCCGGAGCCACTCACGAACGGCGTGGACGATCGCAACTCCGACGAACAAACCGCAAACGCAGTGGACGACGGAACCAGCGCCGTAGCGATCTTCGAGCAGACCATCCAGGACCCAAAGCGCGACACATCAATGGCTCTAACAGGCAGCCAACGGAACGGAAACAAGATCGAAGTGGACACATCCGACATGCAGAGCTTCCTCACGAAGCAGCTCGAGGTCCTGGAGCAACTGAAGGCGGAAGACGAGAAAGACCGCGCCGCGAAGAAGGTGCCCCAGCTCGAGATGTCCCCATTAGACGACAACGGACGAGTCAACGAGCACATCGGTCCTGTACAGTTCAACATGGGAGGAATCCAAGTCGACGCAGACGACATGCTCCGCAAGCTAAAGGTAAGATACCTCCCTATTATCCTCCCTTTCAACCAACCAAACCCCTAACCACCCCAACCCCAAACAGGAACGCGAAGCCAGCCGCTCCCAAAGAAAAGAAACTCTCTCATCATCCGCCGGAGACGAGAAAGCCCACAACCAAGCACTGGCGAATTTCTTCGCCGGCCTAGTCAAGAAACCCGGGGCCAGTCCCCGCGGCAGCCCATCAGCGTAAAAAGATAAAGCGATACACCGGCGATGGGTAGTAGATGATTTCTCTTGTTCTTTTTCCTGTCATTATGGCGGTCATTGTTCATGTTGATGTTGATGTTGGATTGTAATTTTATTCTTTCCTTTTTTTTTTTTCACTTTTATTCCCTCTTTCTCTTTTCATTTTCACACATTCACGATGCAGTACATACATAACATATTTGGAATGAGTGATTATAACTAACGCGGGGGGATTGTGGCCTGGCTGGCTTGGTGACATCTCGTTGTTACTGCTGCTGCTTTCTCGTTGCTGCTGCTGTTGCTGTTTGTGATACCAGAATGGATTAGGCTGGCTTTTTTTTTTCTTCTTAGGAGTCGGAGAAAGATGAATGAATTTTTCGATAGTATTCACTGCTTTTCTTATTTTACGGTGCTTGCTTTTTAGCTCTTGAACATGGTTGCTTGAAAGACTTCTCTTCGTTAGCGTTGCTTTGGAGTCCGACTTGTCGATATTGAGGAATAGATATTGAATAGCTTCATTTGTATACTCTATCTTGGGCGTGTCATCAAAGACAAGCAGATGCTTTCCGTCCCAGATACCAAAATCGAATCATATTATAAAGTTATTATGCCATAACCGCCCGAAACCACACCTAGTACTAGTAGGAATACAAACATCCGAAACCACACCAACGAAAACCAATCAATCTATCTCTCAGAGACACAGTAAAAAAATTACATACCGAAAGTATAGTATAGTATTAAAACCATCACCAATTCTCCCAAACGAAATCAGGCAACACATGACGCATAATATTCCAATGCTCGAGAGCCGAACGATCCTGGTACTTATGAAGCAGGTGGGTGTTCATAGAGTGAAGGACACGACGACCGCCCTTCTCGATAGTCTCGAAGCGACTAGCGTCAATCTCGACCTTCGGCATCAGATACATCTGGCGGAACTTGCTGCCCATGTAATCGGTCGAAACGGGGTCGCGGAAGGTGAGTGGCGTGGCGGAGCTCTTCTTGCAGAAGATCACCATGTTGGTGAAGTCGGTGGTGAGGTCGGAGTCGGAGGCTTCGCGGAAGATGCGGCAGGTCGGGAAGACGTATTGGATGGTGCGGACGGTTAGGGCGGCGGGGTAGAGGGAGATGTCGCCGGCGTAGTTCTTGGGAGGGTTAGTTGGGGGTGGTGGGGAGTTGGGAGGGAGAAGGGGAGAGGGGCTTACGATGGCGATGACTCCGTCGTCCTTGAGAAGGGAGGATAGGCTTTCGAGAAACTCGAGAGTGAAGAGCTCGAGGGGCTCAACGCCTCCGGTGAAGACGTCGTGGACGATGTAGTCGTACTGGGCTGGGGGAGTGCGCTTCACGAAGGCGGTGGCATCCTCGATGGCGGCGATGTGGTTCGAGGGAAGGTGGAAGTATTCGGTAGCGAACTTGTGCACGACAGGGTCGAGTTCCACGATGGTGGTCTCGATGCCGTGGTGGATCAGGGCAGAGGGGGTGGTGCCCACACCGAGGCCGCTGGGAGAGGTTAGGTGTCTGAATAAGAGGGGGTCGCTGCTGAGCTTACATGACAAGTGCCTTGCTGTTGGCATCTACGCGGGGCTCGCCGTGGTCGGTTTCAACCAGACGGACGGCCTCGAGCATGGTGAAGACCGAGTAGATCGGGTCCATAACGGCAGGGTTGTAGTTGTTGGGCATTTTGGTCCACTGGCCGCCGAGCAGGCTGTGGTCGCAACGCATGACACGGAATCCATCATTCAGGTTATCCAAGACAGAGATGTAGCCGGTGGTGGAGTCCTGGCGGGCAACAAGGGCGAATCCCTCCTCGTTGAGGAAAGAGTTCAAGGCTCCAGAGTTCATGTGGACATTGGACGTCATTGAGAACAGAAGGGAGGGAATAGCGAAGAGCAGGAACTTGGAAGGGGCAATAGCGGTGTAGAAGACTGGGAGCAAGAGTTGGAGACCAGCACGAGAAAAGAAGAAGGTCGTTCCAATGAACTTGGCCAGGAATGCTCTGGCGAACTTCTCGCCGGTCTTGTAGAGGACATAGGAGACCACGAGAGGAACGTGCTCAGCGACTGCATCACCGTGTCGGCCCAGATCCAAGCCCGACTGCACCAGCTTACCAGCACAAGCCACGGAGAGCAGAAGCAAAGGGTAGTAGGAGATGACCTCGGTGACTACAGCTCCGAATGGGTTTCCCATCACGGAGCTTGATGCGAACAAGAAACTCTGAAGGGTAGGAACCCAGAATGCCACAACAGGGAGCAGGAAAAGAGCCCGGCGGCCGGTCAATCGCTGGATGTAGTCCTTAAGGAACCATCCAGCAGCGCCAACAAGTGCCACTCCATAGCCATGGAAGATATGGGCAGGAGCCGAGCCATATACTGGCGTTAGCATCAGCACCGTCAATGGCGAGTAGAACGCTATCAAGAACAGCAGAGCAGTGCCAGTGAGCAACTGTCTGGTGGTGGGCTGGACAAGACCAGCTAGGGAAGACATGATGTCAGACCTCCAACCCTGAGGGAATCCGGTAAGACCGATCAATTGAGAGCTTCTGTAGGATCCAATTAGTCTAGGTCCATCTCGCGACTGTATGATTGTTGGCTTCTATTTAACAGCGGAAGAGCTGGGGCGGGGAGCTTCAATGCAACGCCACAACGTGAGCCAAGAAGAATCCCTGAGGGACCCACGTTGTGAAACAGATTGAAACCAGGCTAGTCTTACCGGTACTTTTCAGATAGAAAGTCGGACTGATCAACGGACGGTCATTATTCGCTCGGGCGACGTTTTGACGCTGAGGATAATTTCCCTTTGCCGTCCGCGCGCTTCCGGCCCGAATGGGTTTAGTTTCCCCGCGTGTCTCGCCGCGCTTCTCTTCTTCCTCAACTTCCCATCGTCATCATCCACCTTGATCCAACTACTACGCCCATTATGCCTCTTTTTCCCATGGGTACGGGCGTCGCTCCTGAGGCAGACTCTTCCCAGATGGAGTCAGACCCTGTGAAAAGAACCCAGTCACCATCTGCGGCGACGAAAATCAAAAATCGGCGCAAGCGCTATCTGGACATGCACCCGGAGTATTTCTCTGCTGATCTCGAGCTAGCCGGTCCGCTCGCTCTGTCTCCTTAGACTGATTGGTGTCACATTCAGTCGCTCTGTCTATGACAGGGGATGTTTAAGCCAAGCTAATATACCAGCCCTGCAGACCCGTTGCTGTATGATCGCTTAATCCGTCGATTCCAGACTCCAGCCGAGAGGGAGGCCGAAGGGCGTGCCAAAGGCTTCTCAGGTGTGCTGCAAGCGGACCTATGTAGATCCGAGGCCAAGTTCGAGGCTCTTTCTCATCCTGATCCTCACGCCATGTTCAGCTATACTCGTGGACCCAACGGAGAGATTCTCGCGGAAGATCGAGACGAAATTCCCCCGAATAAGGAAGAAGGGGAGAAGGCGTGGCGATGGGAGATGACCTTGCGGTTCCTAAGGGGTGAAGACGGCGATTTCGATTATACCTCGGTCGATGACAATGACGAGTACGATGATTGGAACGTCGAGCAGGAAAAGTACTTTGACGATGAAGAACCAGAGTGGCTTGTTGAAGGAGTAGACGATGGAGAAGTCAAGTCCCATCTGCAAGGCGAAACTGGTATTCAGGATTTCTGATGGTCAAATCAGGACTCCGATGTTGCTCATCCGGGTGTTGTGGCTTGCTCGGAAATCCTGGTGGCTATTTACGCTCAGCGTTCTCCCTCGAGTTATGCGCTTACCTGCAGGTCCTCAGTCATTCAACTGCTTTGCGGTTTTGGCTTGGCTTCGGAGCGGAAGCTTCTGCTGCACTTGTTTGCAGTGTGTACTTGCTGAATGGGTAAACCCCATGTCCATAGCACACGATCGGAACTGTCTTAAATGAGCAAGGTCTTGCTTTGGTAGGCCTGTCACCCCCATGCCGCAATGAGAATGCAGTGCTCTTTGCTATACATTGGTTTAGCAATGATGAATTTGCATTCCGTGGATATACCTATGGAACAAGGCAACTATATCCAAGATGGAACAATACTTGCTCTCGACCAAATCGGATGCGTTAGCGATGTCACGTGCCGTTCAGTCTGCATCCTCACTGCTTCATAGGACCAGCATCTTGATGACTCAGTCAGCCAAGTGGCCTACTGAGAGGCTCCAACAATGATGTCGATTATTGCTCATGCGTTGACCATTTATGCTGTAGACGCAGGAACAGCATGGTCAAGTTGTGGGGCCATGTGCCTTAGTCCAGTTCAATGTATTTTGGGAAGTCGGGGGAGGCTGGAACGTCAGACTCTTTCTCTGAATAGTGTTAACGCTCGTCCATAGCATCAATAATGCCGACCTCCTTTACATATGATCTTGTTCTTCCTAAAGTAGCTTACCTCGGTTATTCAAAATTCAGCACAGACTCGCCTCCCTGAAGCCATTCAATTTCATCTGGTGAATTTTCTGTATCCATACTCTATATCTGTGTCTATATCCATTCTGTATCCTTTAGAAGAACACAGGCGTCTACATCATCTCCAAAGGTTTGCTTGTGGCCTCCATGGCTCTGGAGCGATGACGCTCCAGGCTGGTGTTGCTGATGGCATCGCTTGCCCTGCCATAGTCATGTCATGATGTCGTGAGAAAACTCGTCCAAGTGCAAGTATGACATGACTCTACTGCTCAGATGCCGCTTCCTTCCCACAGAAACTCCCCCGTCGCCAACATCCTCCTTTCCATCGTTCAACTCTTGTTCTGCAAAGTACTGTTGGCTCTAGCTATAGCAGGACATAGCTCGATAAGCCCAACTTCGCTTTATAACTATTGCAGTCGAACATTTGCTATATTGGCTGCAAATCTTGCTCCTCCACACCCTTCTCTATCCTTTTCCCTTTATTTCTCGTTGTGACTTACACAACGATATCTTATCGGATATACCTTGCTTCCAGGTATACCCCATCGTGGATCGAATAAAGATCCACTCGTCTCAACAGACTCGTATTAACATAAATACGATGTCTTCCACTGATTCTTCCTCTTCCTCCTCGAGCATCGACCACAGTGTCTGCTCCAGCGAGCTGGATGATCGCCTTGGGAAGTTGATCATGCCAGGCTCCAATCCCACCTCTAGCCAAAGCAGTGACTACCAAGCTGTGGAGGTTCCCGACGACTTCGACACGAGCCTAACCTCCGAACCATCCAATAGTATGCATGTGCTCGAGGAGATGAAAGGCTATAAGATGAAGGAAGCCTTCTACAGTAGCAAAGACGAGGTTCTTGGCAGAGGAGCCTACGCACAGGTCCGCGTCGTCTATAAGCGCAACAGCGAAGACAGGACATCTCGTTATGTCGCCAAGGAGTTCTTCGAGAGGAAGTATGCCCCATACGATGTTTTCGTGCGTGATATTCGTAAAGAGTTCATCGTTGCTCGTCATGCTTGTCATCCAAATGTCGTCAAAACTGTCGACCTTTGCATCAAGGAGAGGCAGTGTGGCATTGTCATGGAATACTGCAGCCAGGGTGACCTCTTAGATGTCCTTTCGATCGGTCGGCTAAGCACCACTGGCAAATTATGCCTGTTCAAGCAGCTTTTACGTGGTGTATCCTACCTTCATAACCATGACATCGCCCATCGAGACCTGAAGCCAGAGAACCTGCTCCTCACGGAAAAGGGTGTTCTCAAGATAACCGACTTTGGTTTCGCCGTGGTCTTCAGGGACCCCGAGATAAACCCCGATAGAGTTCGCCATTGTTCGAACAAAAACATCTGCGGTACCGAACCCTATCTGCCACATGAGGTATGGTACAGTAGATACTATGACCCTCGCCGGCTTGATGTATGGGCCTGTGCCTTGATCGGACGATACTTGTTCAATCATAGCATGGCCTGGGAGGTCGCCGACGTTAAAAAGGATAGTCAGTTCCAAAGCTTTGTACTTACCTGGATGAAATTTCGTGAAAGCCGTTGTGCCAGCCTTATTGAATGGGCTGATACCCATGAATGGCAGCCAGGGTTCAGGCCTGCAGACTACCCTAGCGTTCAGATATGGTCTTTGATACGCATGATGCTGCACATTAACCCCGAGAAAAGGCTCACCATCGACGAAGCCATGAGTAGTCCCTGCATTCAAGCTATTGATTGCTGTTCTCCGCCGGGGCTTGAAACAGATTCTACAGACTCTCCCTCTCCTTCTGATACTCATCATCATTGTCAAGGTTCCCAGGGGCTGTCACCACCACGGCACTCATCAGACACGGACACCAGGACAACCAAATCAAGTGACATCAATAGGCGAGTATTTCAAGTGAGTAGTGAATAACTCACTAAGATCCAATATATCTCGGGTTGATGGTCCTCGAATCAATCCTTTAGTTGAGAAACTATTCTCAGCTTACTACACACGTTGAACCGCGGTGCAATGATAATACTGCGGTTCATCCTCTAAAGAATCAGGCCCCAAACTATCGGCGCAACAGGCTTCAACGACACATACCAAGTCAACAAACTGATATCTAAGGTTATCTACGTTGATGCTTCTAACCCGATTATTCACAACAAGCCGGCTGCAATTGTCGTGCCGCTACTTTTGGATAAGATGTCCACTTCGCCGCTGTGTGTCAACAGAATTACTCTAATATGTCAACTTCAGTGACTACACCTGGATGGGATGAGTCTCTCGAATGACTAACTCGAAATAAGAAGATCTAGAGGGCTAATGCGAGCAAGGAAGCAGTAGATAATCGGATGATTTCCGATATCCTCCTGTCAATCTAAAATACAGGAGACCTGAAAAATATCTAGAACCTAACTAGTATTACAATCTATTATCTAACGTTGCTCACTTCTATCCTTTCGTCTGCGTGACAATGATGCTTTCTTACTATCAAGCCGCGTTTAGTACTCTGGGAGGCTCCCAGGCACTTACCGGCACAAAAAGACCACCGAGAAGTCTTGAATGGTACTATATTACTTTATATTTTTGTAAGAGAGGACCAGAAAAGTCTACAACCTCTTATTCATAAACGAAGGCCGTGAAAGACAAGATGCACATACCAAGGGGCTCTAAAAACTCAGAGTATTAAAGCCAGAAGGGACTATGCTAGCAATTTCAACATTGACGGGTCTCTCAGATTCGTCGAACAGAACTGGGACATTCATTAAATGAGTATAAAGCCTGCGCTCTGTCTATTCTATTTCCATACACGAACTTTTCTACTCCCTTAAGCTGGTGCAGGCTGATTTCTGCTGCTTATTCATTAATTTACTTGGTTTGGACCCCGTAGGGCTCATCTACCTGTCCTTTTAATGCCCTATTTGTGGTTACTGCATAGCATGTGTCCCCGATATCAAGACAATTTACAGACTTCTATGATATAAGATTAAGATTAAATAGACGGGTTTTCCACCCCTGATATCCTTTCCATCCTTTTGATACGGCTCTAAATATCTGGATCGTGGTTCAATCCTCAGGGCTGTAATAGCCCTACATGAACAGGTACACGCGCCTTCCAACTGACTCAGAAAATGACCACGTTGAAACAAAGGCCTAACGACTCAATAACTGCGTATCTCACCCGATGCGAGGATCTGAAGCCTCACGCCGGGGAAGCGGCCAAAGGCGCTGGTGTTGAGCATGGTTAGCGGGTTGGCATACCGAACCTATTCAGTTTGCACTAGATATGTACAAAACTATGATCTTATGGTATTTGTACTATCCTTGCTCTTATCTTATAACAATTGAAGTAAATGTGGGCTCATTGGTGTATATATTCTGTCTCCAGTCAGGAGGGAAGGTCTTGATACGTTACTACGGAACATGAGATTAGCGGCCAAGTCATCCTGTTGTGAATACTAGAGGCTCGGCCAAGTGAATATCAGAGCTTCACATTCGCTTCGGATACGATTGTTGGTGGTCAATCTCTCTGACATTCATTCTGTATATAGGGCTCTCAAGTTTCCAGATGATCGAGAACAAATATTACTTTGAACTACACCAGTCTCTACGATATGTGCTTTTGTCTTATAGATTACTCGTATATTTCTTCAATAATTGCTATGTAGATATGAGATATTCGTACTTAGCACTATTCAATTAAAAGCGTCTGTCTTCGGCTGAGCCGAACGATCTGGTTGACAAAAATCCTGATTCAATCAGGATGTCGCACCATGCTGACGAAGTAGCTCGGCCACTTCAGCTCTGCCATTCTCCAACGCCTTAACCTCCTCAGTCACTCTCTCATCCGTGGAACAATATGTCTTGAACTTCTCGATCTCTTCCTCCGTGACAGCAGATTGAGCAGCCTGCAGAGCGGTAGGGAGGTGCGCTTTATCCAGCCGGATATTTACGTCCGCTCCAGCCTCAATCAAGCGTTTCGCCGAATCCTTTAGTCCAAAGAACGCAGCAGCAATCAGAGCAGTCACGTATTTTGCCTCGGGGTGGGTCTGGTTCACGTCTGCACCGGCCTCGATTAGAAATTCAAGCTTTTCAATGTCATACTCAGACATCGCAGCCTTGGTGATGGCATTGCCGTAGTCTTGCTTCTTCAGTGGCTGGTTAACATCTGCTTTTGCGTCTATAAAGGCCTTGAGAATGTCAAGATCCCATCCGTCAATTGCCGCTTCAAAGGCATTGGTGTACTTTCCGGATTGTAGTGGCATGTTGGCATCGGCCCCTGCATCCATCAGTGTTCTCACAATATCCGATAAGTTGCGGGAGGCTGCGGCCGCAAGAGCACTTCCGTAATCGCCACGAGACAGATGCGCGTTCACATCTGCTCCTGCTTCTAGGAGACACTTGGCGATATCGTGAGCAGTCGCTGCTGCCAGGGCGCTTCCATAATTCCCAATCGCCGGCAGTGCGTTCACATTAGCACCGGATTTCACGAGGCACTTGACAGTTTCCGTGGCAGCGTAGCCTGAAGCTGCCGCTATCAGGGCGGTACCGTATTCCCCAACAGAAACTTGCATATTTACGTCTGCTCCGGCTTCTAGAAGGATCTCTACCACCTCAGTATTATCCTTTGCGGACGCAGCAGTAAGGGCGCTGCCATAGCTCCCGTAAGGAATTTGCATATTTGCGTCTGCTCCGGCTTGTAGAAGGACTTTGACCGCCTCAGTCTGATTTTCTGCAGATGCAGCAGCGAGAGCGCTGCCATATTCCCCACCGGGAAGAGGCATATTCACGTTGGCTCCCGCTTCTAGCAGAGCTTCCAGAATCTCGGGGTCTCTAGACGTTGCAACGGTAGCTGCAAGAGCACTGCCATATTTACCCAGGGTCAATGGCATGTTCACATCAGCTCCTGCTTCCAGCAAAAGTTTGACTTCGTGAATCTCGTCTGCGGCTGCGAGAGCACTGCCATATTCACCACAGCGAAGTGGTAAGTTGACGTCAGCTCCTGCTTCGTGGATCAAAGACCTGACGGTTGCCAGGTAGTCGACACCATCCTCGTCGGCCCCGTCATCGCCATCCCACCTCGACCTGTCACCTGCGAGCGCAGCTACAAGAGGACTGCCATGGCCATAAGAATGTGCCACGTTCACTTCGGCATGTGCCTCTTGAGCCAAGTACCTGACAACATCGATCTTTCCAGCATGCGCTGCGGCTTCAATGGCAGTACCATGGTGAAAGCAACCTTCAAGGCTGCACGGTTGGGAAACCATGTTTACATCTGCCCCCTCCTGAACCAGGTACTTAACAGTCTTGAGTTGCCCCTTGTGGGCGGCAGCCTCGAGGGCGCTGTAGTAGTCAATGCGTCCTAGCGGCTTGCTCAAATCGGCTCCAGCGTCCACCAAGCAGTTGACCATTTCATGGTTTTTCAGTACAATTGCTCTTCCCAGAGCAGAACCCAGGTAATCTGTATCCTCTGGCGGCATGTTGGGGTCAGCCTTCGCCGTCTGAACCAGATACTTGACGGTTTCAAGATGTCCCCCATCCACGGCAGCTACCAGCGCGTTCCTGAATCGCCCTTGTCCATAGGAGTATGACATATTCACGTCGGCTCCGGATTCCACTAAGCAGCGGACGGCCGCAGTCCGTCCTTTATGTGCTGCTGCAACAAGAGCACTTCCGTAGTCAATGTTATCTTCCTCAGCGGCTATCCGGAAGTTGACATCGACACCCTTGGCGATCAAGTGCTGGCATATCGGCACACTGCCTCCTATGGCGGCAACAGTGAGAAGGTCGTGGCCCCGTTGGTTCAGACGGGAGATATTGATATCTCTGTTTTGCCACCATCCCCACAGAATCTTGTCAAATGCGAAGCGACACATGGCGAAAACGGCGGCATCTTCTGGTTCTAGTTCGCTCCCCCAAATATACCCAATATTGATATAGAGAAGTTCTCGGAGAGTGCGGTAGTAGTTGAAGGTATTGCTATCGAAGCCAGAGATGTCCCAGCCAGTTGAGTTGTCAAGAAGGGGCTTCATGCTCGCATCAAGCCGCACTTGCCTGTACCATGTCCGATATTGTACACTGCTGTCATCGGGAGCCCCGAGGAAGGTCTTCAAAAGGGATGCCACTGTACTTTCTTCGGAACAGCCGGATCCGTGCACGTGGGCGACCCAGTAGTGTCTGATGTAGATGTGAAATGGGTTCCGTATGTCGATGATGTCGAACTTTCCATCTGGAATGGACTCTTCGCTCCGCCAGAAATCCTGCAGCTCTTCATTAGGCACAGTTTCCAGATCATCCTCGTAGACGTTGATGAAAAACGAGAGACAAGCAGTAGCGGCATGGCAATGTGCCTGAGGGAGGGTCAAATTGTGCCTGCTTTCCAAGTATTCTATGACCGAAGCATGTGAGAAACGCCACACCCCCATCTTTGAATCAATCACAAGGAAGTTGTTACAAAGTGATAGTAACCCTTGCTCGTCAATCTCATCAGCCAAGAATTCTTCGTCATCCTTTGATCCAACACGGATCGCAGATAGGAGCATATTGGTCTTCATGGGCTTGTGTGCGGCCATTACCCATGTCAACGCGCGTTTAGTGAGGGTCTTGTCTGGCTCCTCTAAGGCTTCAATCTCATTCCATATCTCATCATATGCCTTCTGAAGATCCTCTGGAAGGTTTTCGAGCCGCTTCCAAGCGCTTGATTCAGTTCTACATCTGAAAATTTGGTGAACCTGCAACGACGCCCATTGAAACCTATCGAGCATTAGCAACCTTGTACTATTGGATGGGTGATCCCGGAATCTTACATTCCCTGGCAACCTTCCAGAAGCTTAGCAATGATCTTTGCCTTCATCCGGCCAATGAAGGCGGTCTTTCTGGCGAGGTTGTCCAGTTGTATTTCGAGAAATTTCTGAATGTCGGCTTGA